CGTAGTCATAGAGCGACACATGCTCCTTGCTATCGCTCAGGAGGAACAGCTGCAGGTCATCTAGCCAAGCGGTGAAACGCACAGGGCGGCCCTCAGCATCGAACGACAGCACGCGAATGGAAGCCATAGCGACAGTGTGACAGAGTAACGCAAGCTGCCGCAGCAGGGGAAGGCGACTGTGCACGGATAGAGAGCAGCGGGCGAGGCTGGCGCTACGGGCAGGCGGCGCTGCAAGCGGTCAGTGCGACGGGAGGGCGACGCTGCGAGCGGGCAGCGCGGCGGACGGGCCGGGAAGCGGGCAGCGCGGCGGGCAGGCGGCGCTGCAAGCGGGCAGCACGGCGGGCGGGCGACGCTGCGAGGCGGGCGGGCCGCAAAGCGGGCAGCGGGCGGGCGGGCGGGCTGCGAAGCGGGCAGCGGGGCGAGCGGGCTGCGAAGCGGGCGGGCCGCGAAGCGGGCAGCGGGGCGAGCGGGCTGCGAGGCGGGCGGGCCGCGAAGCGGGCAGCGAGCGGGCGGGCGGGCTGCGAAGTGGCGGGCCGCGAAGCAGGCAGCGAGCGAGCGGGCTGCGAAGCGGGCGGGCCGCGAAGCGGGCAGCGAGCGAGCGGGCTGCGAAGCGGGCGGGCCGCGAAGCGGGCAGCGAGCGGGCGGGCGGGCTGCGTAGTGAGCGGGCCGCGAAGCGGGCAGCGAGCGAGCGGGCTGCGAAGCGGGCGGGCCGCGAAGCGGGCAGCGAGCGAGCGGGCCGCGAAGCGGGCAGCGAGCGGGCGGGCGGGCTGCGTAGTGAGCGGGCCGCGAAGCGGGCAGCGAGCGGGCGGGCGGGCTGCGAGCGGGCGGCTCGGCGAGGGGCGCGCGAGGGCGCTAGTGAGGGGCGCGCGAGGGCGCTAGCAAGGGGCGCGCGAGGGCGCTAACGAAGGGGCGCGCGAGGGCGCTAACGAAGGGGCGCGCGAGGGCGCTAACGAGGGTGCGCGAGGGCGCTAACGAGGGGCGCGCGAGGGCGCTAACGTGGGCGCACGAGGGCGCTACGAGGCTAGGGCACGGGGTAGCGTGGTAACCGCATGCGAGCGGTGGTGGGCCCTAAAAAAACGGTCGGTAGGTCCTAGGGACCTCCTGCTCTGAATACCATGTCAGAATCCCTAGGCAAGAATGATTGAACTAGCAGAAGTTTGGGTACAAATGTGAAACCCTAGTTGGGGTTGTACCCCATATTGGCTACCCCACTACAGCCTACAAGCATAATACAGTTTAACATAACATTCACACACACTCAGAAAATCCAAACCACACCAAACAGAAATTCATGCATACGCTCACACCACACATGCAATATACGAACATATAATGGGAGGCAGACAGATGTACATGCAAACGATAGCATCACATAACAAACTCCCCCTCTGGCTGTTGGTGAAAGGGCCTAATTAACTCAAATTATTAAGACTATATCAAACTTAAAACCTCTCCTCGGGGTCACCTCCAAGGGTCCCTGGGTGCCTGGTACAAGATCAGCCCCTATCCTCGGGTCCGAGTTTGTAGAGAGAGGAGTCAAGAATAACGAGAGTACCTTGTGCATCGCGCAGCGTGCCAAGCTGACCGTCGATCGGATTAAGCTGAGAATTCGCTATATCGAAGCTCGCTCCAAGAGCTTTAAAATAAGCCAAGTTGCCTCGCGAAAAGTTCTGCCATTACGAAGTTATGGCTCGGACAGCGTTTGCCTTGCGTTGGAGTGCTAGCACACTAGCGTTGACTCGGGTAGCATTCCGTCGTCGAACCGTGTAGAAACGAAATTCCAGCAAGGAAGGAATTCGCTTGAATCAATTGACTATATCTAGGTACAAACAGAGAAGGAATAAATAGTTCTAGCTAGCAAGGGCCTTGGGAATCAACCTGGGAAGAACCAGGGATGATCCCAAATAATTCCAAGCAACAGAACCAACCTGGCTGGACAAAATAGCAGGTGGTAGGTTGGTAAACAACCTCTCATCCTGTTTTGCCAACCTGGGAAAACAACAACCACGTTCAGGTCCTAAAAACAGAACCTGTTTTGTCTTTGCCCAACCAGCCAAATGTTGGTTCCGCTGGTTTCCCCTGGCCCTATAGCATGCAGATACAGACAAACAACATCCAACCTTCACCTAAATTGTACCCCTATAGTGCCTGCCTTGCTACACTATAGTCAACCAAGCAAAACAGTACAATTTCGAGTTGGATAGAACTGAATCTGCGCAATCAATTCAACCGAACCGCAAAGCTTCCATCTTGGGTTCCTTTGCGAGCACGTCCTTTCTGCTTGCACTGTTCATAGCGCGTACAATGTTGTGTCGAAGTGCACAGTACGCGAGTACCTGCAAATGCATCAAGCGAAAATTGCGAAAGCAAACAAACACACGAATACACCATTCACACGCAAATGCATTCGCACATGCATACTCGTACAAACAGACGGCAAGATGTCGTGCAATGTGAATTTGCACCCAACACAGGCTGCCAACCATCATCCCACATGCCTCAGCTCATGCATGCACACTCAATGCACACTCATTCCAGCAAGCTTCATCCCCTTCCAATGCTCAGGTTCAGCCAGGCGCTTGGTGAGAATGTCAGCCGCCTGCTGCTGGGTCTTCACAATCTCCAGCCGCACCTCCTTGTCCAGGAGCCTCCTCACCCAGTGCCATTTGGGCCTGATGTGCTTGGCATGCCCATGAAGACAAGCATTCTTGGCCAGCTTCACAGCCGACTTGTTGTTACAGAAAATCACAGTCAGCTCCTTCTGGCACACTCCGATCTCCTCCAACAAACGCCTCAGCCACACAAACTCCTTAGCCCCATGATGCAGGGCCATGTACTCGGTCTCACATGAGGACAGCCCCACCTCATTCTGCTTCTTGCTGCGCCAGCTCACTGCACCACCTCCAAACAGGCACACATAGCCTCCAATGCTGGTGCCATCTGCCTTCACTGAGTTGAAGCTAGCGTCATTGTAGCAAGTCAAGAGCATGTCCCCCTTGCCCAAATTGTTGAGAAATGGACTAGGAATGATGAAACTAGAAAAAGTTGGGATACAAATAGAAAACCTAGAAAGTTGTACCCTATATAAGCTACCCCACTACAGCCTACAAACAACAAAATCTATTATAGTTTAACACACCCCCATAGGCAAAGTGGGGGAGAATAAGGGGTCACAAGACCAGTCAAGAAAACCAAAGCAAGCTCAGGGTGGATCACAACGTCACCACACACTCCGAGCACAAGCAAAAGGCCACAGGGCCAGTTCACATGCATAGTTATATAAGAGAGAGCAAACAGTACAGTGATCACTACCTAGCAAACGTAAACATGCAGGTATTTATAAAGATCACAGTACAAGCAAGGTCAAGAAGTGAGCAAGTGAGAGAATGTAGACACGAGGCCTAGAGCAGTGCAGTGCCGCTGATGATCACTAGGCGGAAGTGCCTTGGTGAATATATCAGCAGTGTTGGCCTGTGGGTCCACGTAAGCAAGACGAAGCTGGCCACGCTGCTGCAACTCTCGAGCAAGAAAGTAACGCAGAGCAATGTGCTTCGTTCTGTGCTCCAGTCTATGCTCCTGACACAAGGCGAGGGTTGCCTTGTTGTCGTCGTACAGAACTGGAGGAGAACGAGGCCACTCTCCCAAGTCAGTCAGCAGGTAGGTGAGCCAGCATAACTCCTGTGCAGCCATAGCTGTGGCGTAGATCTCAGCCTCACAACAGCGGGAACTAAGAACAGAAGAAGAGCGGGTAGACCGCCAAGAGACAGAGCCGGAACCAAGGCTGAAGGTGTAACCCTGCGACGTTGCGTAGCCAGGTCGTCAACCCAAGAGGCGTCTGAGTGTCCAGTGGACAGTGTCACCCCGTCCTCCAAGCACCAGCCCCATGCCTGATGTACTGCACAAGTAGCGCAGCACCCTCTTAGAAGCTTCCTAGTGCTCTCGCCGGTGTCTCCCAGGCGCAACGTAGCGAGCTAGGATGCTAAGAGGGTACGCAAGGTCAGGTCGAGTGCAGGTCATCAGGTACATGAGGCAGCCCACAAGCTCTGGGTACGGGCCACTCGGCTCTACGGACTCATTCGAAGGTGGAGCTGAGAGTGAGTGACCTGTAGCCAGAGGAGTGGACTGTGGTGAGGAGTACTGGAAGTCGAAGCGCTGAAAGATCTATTGCACCATGTGTGACAGGGTCAGTGTAATGGTTCGGTGTGCTCTTTCCCGGGTGATCTGCAAGCCAAGGTAGCTGCGCAGCTCACCCAGGTGTGTGCACGTGTGTCTCTTCTGCAGCTCCGACTTCATAAGGGCGAGTTGTCAAAGATTATATATGTTGGGTTTGTTAGGCTACAGTGGGTTAGCCTATATGGGGTACACAATTCTAGGGTTTGCTATTTGTACTGATTTCTCTGTTAGTTCATTCATTCCAGTCTCTTCTTGTTAACACGAGTGCCTCAGTTTCAGTAGTGGCAAAGACCAAGTCGTCGACGTAGACGAGGATGTAGAACGGCGATAGAGAAGTGTCGGTGCAAAAGAAACAGCGACGGGTCAGCAGTGGAGGGAGCAAACCCAAGAGCCGCAAGTGTCGTCCTCAGTGTGTCGTGCCATTCACGAGGCGCCTGGCGGAGACCGTAGACTGGGCGCCGGAGGCTCCACTGGGTACCAGGAGGGAACGACCCAGTGAAGCCAGGTGGGCGGCGCAGCCAGATCTCCTTGTGCAGGCTGCCCTGCAAGAAAGCTGTGCTGAAGTCAAGAGAGTGAAGCTCGTAGTCACGCTGAGCAACGACGTGCAGCAGTACCTTAAGTGTGGTCCTCTACGGGGTAGGGGAGAAGGTCTGGAAGAAGTCAACTCCCTGCCGCTGAATGAAGCGTCGTGCAACGTAACGAGCCTTGAAGACAGGCGGAGAACCCGGCGGCCACTTCACCCTGAAAATCCACATGCCATCGACTATGTTCGCCCCATGAGGGGGAACCTCGTCGACGTAGGTGCCTGTGGACTTCCAGGATGCCATCTATGCGTCCATGGTTGTCTGCCACTGAGAGGAGTAGGGACCCGAAATCGCCTCTGCGTAAGAGCGCGGGGTTGGGATGTCCAGTGCATCCGGGTCTCCCTCAGGTGCAAGCAGCCAGGCCACGAGATGAGGTACAGCAGCCGCAAGAGACTCAAAGTTCTCCGGCCTGTCCTCAAGGACGTCTGTGCCAAGAGCACACTCACCCCCGACGGACGGAGGACAGACAGAATCAGACTCAGCAACAAGACTGGCAGCGTAGTCTAGACGACACGCAGCAGCAAAGTCGACAAGCTCAGCGACTAAGGCAGACGCAGCAGTGGACTCAAACGACGGGTCAGTGACGACTGTAGCCAGAAAACGTGTGACTGTGGGGCTAGCAGCACGAACACGGTCAGACTCAGGGTCAGGAAGCTCAGGAAGAGAGGACGCAGGAGGAGACGGCAGTGGGACGCGCTGCGGAGCAGATTAAGGACGAAGTGCCTTAGTGTGAGTTCTTGGCACAGGAGGAGGACGCGGACGCGGGACACGACGAGCGCGGAGCGAACAGCGCGAACAGGGGAGACAGGACGAGACGCAGGCTCACGACGCTCTGTAAGGGAGACCGGCTGCTCAGTGTAACGAGACGGGGCAGGCAGCGGCGATTCACGAGGAAGGGCAGTAAACAAAGGAAGACTAAGAACCTGGCGGAGCACCGACTCGGGCGGAAGCTCAGACAGCTGCGGCGGCGGCTGGAAGAACGGTTCCTACTGCACAGGGCCTCCATCTCCAGTACCTCCAGCGCCAGCACCGCCAGCTCCAGTAGTGCCAGCTCCAGCGCATCCAACTCCGGCGCCTCGAGCTCCAGTGTCTGCGGCTCCAGCGCCTCCAGCGCCAGCGCCTCCAGCTCCAGCACCTCCAGCTCCAGTGCCTCCAGCTCCAGTGTCTCCAGCTCCAGTGCCTCCAGCTCCAGCGCCTCCAGCACCAGTGTCTCCGGCTCCAGCGGCTCCAGCGCCAGCGCCTCCAGCTCCACTGCCTCTGGCTCCAGCGGCTCCAGCTCCAGGGTCTCCAGCTCCAGCGCCTCCAGCTCCAGTGCCTCCAGCTCTAGCGCCTCCAGCTCCAGCAGCGCTGCGCCGGAGGCGAATGCGCAGAGCTAGCCACTCGCGCAGCTGCTGTGGTGAGAGGGGCTCCCGCTGGGGAGGCTGCTGAGGTGAGGCACCCGGAAGACGACCAGTAGACCCAGCTCCACCAGGCTCAGCACCCCCAGGCTCAGCACCCCCAGAAGCAGCACCCCCAGGCTCAGTGCCCCCAGGCGCAGCACCCCCAGAAGCAGCACCCCCAGGCTCAGCACCCCCAGGCTCAGCACCCCCAGGAGAAGCACCCCCAGGCTCAGCACCCCCAGGCTCAGCACCCCGAGCAGCACCACCCCCAGCAGCACCTGAGTCACCAGTGACCTCGACAGGCTCAGCTAAGGGAAGTGGGTCTACCTGAGAGACACCTGAAGGAGCTGGATCCTGAGGGGGGAGGGGGTCTACCGGAGGGGGACCTGGAGCAAGGAAGAGCGGCGAGGGGGGGGGGAGAGGGGCAGTGCGGTAGGGGAAGAGACGGTAAAAGGGGACCGACTCGTCAAACGTGACGTCCTGAGAGGGGAAGACACGGCGCGAGATGGGGTGGTCAAACTGCCAGCCAGGCCCATCAGGGGGAAAGCCGAGGAAGACGCAGGGAATGGCGCGAGAGGAGAGCTTGCCCGCGGTGGAATCGCGGACAAAGGCACAGGAACCCCAGACCCGGAACCGCGACGCATCGCCAACCTCCCCCGTCCAACGCAGTGTGGGCGAGGTCTCCGGCAAGGAGACACAGGGCCAGAGGTTGAGCTGATGCGCCGCGTACCGGACTGCAAACGGCCACAGAAAATGGGGAGCAGCCGCATGGATCATGGAGGTACGAGCGACCTCCATGACTAAGCCAATGCGGCGCTCAGCAATCCCATTTTGCTGCGGGGAGGCCAAAAGCGTGAACAACTGCTATTTGCCCTCGTCCTCACAAAAGGACCTCAAGAGGTCAGAGGAAGACTCACCACCTCTGTCAGAGTGCAGACGCAGGACAGGAAGGTACATGAGGAACCGCTTGCGCAGCTGGAGACGAACAGCTCGGATCCAATGGATCAAAACAGCAGGGACCTCACCCTTGCTACGCAAGGGGAAGACCGTGGTGTAACGCGAGTAGTCGTCGACAACCAGCAGAAAGTAGCGCTCGCGGCCCTGTCCCTGGACGCGGGCTGGGCCCCACACGTCCATGTGGAGAGTCTGCAGGGGAGCAGTCGTCGGGGGAAACGAGGAGGAGTGAGGAGTGGCGCGCTGCCGCCCCTCGACGCAAGGAATGTAGGGCAGGGCAGGCGAGGGTGAGAGGGAAGGCACAGACCAGAGATCAGAAGACGAGAGTGCATGCCACGAAGGTGGGGCAGAGAGGGGTGTCCAAGGCGGTGGTGCCAAAGGAGAGTCTGGTGCGACAGGCGGCGACACTCACAGGGGGCTGCTACCGGACCTGACGGGGACACCTGAGCAAATGCAACGACCTGAGGCGGCGCAGAAGTCAGTGTGTACAGACTCGACCCCGGCCGACGAGTGAACGTGGCCAGGTGACGGCCAGTCCAAGAGCATGTACAGATCGCCACACGCTGTCATCCAGGTGTAATGGTATCAATCCCCGCATCCTTGAGGACTATGATGCTCACCAAGTTCGTCGAGAACGAGGGGAGGTGGAGACCAGACAGGGAACCGGACGGAACGGACGGGCACAGGAGCACAGTAGAGGAGCGTGCAAGAACCGGGCCCCCAGAGGGGTCAGCCAGGGAAACTGCAACAGGCCTGGTGAGTGGTGTGACTGTGGTACTGTCGCGAAAGAAGCAGCGGGAAGCACCTGAGTCAAGCATGAAGGTGTGCAAGGCCTCAGCAGGCGCAGTACCAGAGAGAGCAGACTCATTAGCACCTAGAGCAGCAGCCTCACCAGGGGTATACGGCGCACACAAGTAACAGTCACCCTCAACACTAGTAGACAGAGCATACATGCCAGCAGTAAATAATAGCATCATAGTCTAGAGCAAAGATATCATCAATACCAGCCTTAAGCAGCTCCGCCCAGCAGGGCATCTCACACTCATCACCCATCTCCTGACGCCAAGCGTCGTCTAGGCGGGAGAAGCAGCGGTGCTGGGTGTGAAACTTCCCGCACGTCTGACCAGCGCGGGGACCTGTGCGAATAACGTACGAGCAGCGACCACTACCACCACCCCTAGACGCCGTACGCTGAGCAAGCCACTCACGAAGCTGTTGCGGCGAGAGGGCCTCATGCGGACGCTGCTGCTGCTGCCGCTGAACTGCGCCAGAGCGATCACCACCGCCGCCGCTGCCACCACTCCCGCCGCTGCCACTCCCGCCACCACTGCTCCCACTGCCACCACGACCACTGCCACCACCACCCCCGCCGCCGCCGCCACCTACGCTGCCTGCGCCCCCACTCGCTCCACCACTCCCACCGCCACCTCCACCACCTCCGCCTCCCTAACCACCTCCACCACCAAACCCCCTGCCGCCACCCTCACCACCCTTGCCCCCTTTGCCCTTGCCGCTGCGGCGCTTCCCACTAGGAGCAGAAGCAGCACCGACCTCCTCAGCACCAAGGAAGTCGACAGCAGCGGCAGAGGCAACAGAGGGGGCGAGGGGGGAGGGGGAGCACCCCTCAAAGAAGGGCGTGCGAGGGGTGCCACGGGTAGCACCTACAGCGAAAATGTTTGCTTCAGTTGCAAGAAGGTGCTTCCCTAGCAGGTCGATAGTGAGGTCTATAGGGGGGAGAGCGAGAAGGGTGTCCCGGACTGCACTAAGAGAGTCAGGGAGGCGTGTCACTATGAAGTGGAGAGTGATATAGATCGGTGGCTCGTTCTTGGTCAGGAGCTCGGCAGGGAGGGCACCACGGTAACGAGCGTCCGTAGCGCGAAGGTGGGAAAGAAGATCGTCTACAGTGGCGAAGGAGGAGAGGTCAGGGAAAAGGTAGGGCAGGAAGAGGCGGGTAAGCACTGCAGTGGCGGGGGAAGAGTAGCGGGCAACTACAGCGTCGTACAGGGTCTTAGCAGTCTTTGCCTGGTCAAAATGCTCGCATTCAGCTACCGGCAGGTGGTTGCGAATGGCTAGGCGAGCAGCAGCATCGCGGGTAAGCCACTGCGAGCGAGTCGTCGCGTCAGCTGAGGCTGGTGGGGCAGTGGAGGCACCAGTCGCTAGGTCATAGAGCGAAACACCGTCCCTAGCGTCGCTCAGTAGGTACAGCTGCAGGTCCTGGAGCCAAGTGTCGAACTTGATTGGGCGGCCGTTAGGATCAAAGGAGAGAACACGTAAAGTGGGCATAGTTTAGCAGTTTAGAGGCACTACAAGGGTAGGGCGCAGGTGCAAGGGCGTTGCGCGTGGCTGCAAAGGGCGGCGCACTGGGCAGAGCAGAAGCAGAGCAAGGGTTGCGGGAGCTGCGCGTGGGGCAGCAAGGGCGCGCGGGGCTGCCGGGCGTAGCGCGGGGCAGGAATAGCGGCGCGCGGCCTGCTGGAGCGGCGCGCGGGGCTGCTAAGGGGCCGCGAGGGGCAGGTGAGGCAGCACGGGGGCTGTTGGGGTGGCGCGCGATGCTGCTGAGGGGCCACGAGGGGCAGGCGGGGCAGCGTGCGGGCAGCTGTGGTGGCGCGCGGGGCTGCAAGGGGCCGCGAGGGGCAGGCGGGGCAGCGCGCGGGCTGCTGGGGCGGCGCGCGGTGCTACAAGGGGCCGCGAGGGGCAGGCGGGGCAGCGCGCGGGCTGCAGGGGCGGCGCGCGGGGCTGCAAGGGGCTGCGCGCGGGCGGCTAAGGTGACGCGTGGGGCAGCGAGGGGCAGTGCGCGGGCTGCAGGAAAAGAAACCCACGGGCAGCGGGGGTGGCGCGTGCGGGCGGTACAGGGCAGGGTAGGTCGTGGGGTAGTGCGGTAACCGGTGGGCCCGAAAAAAAAAAAGAAAAAAAAAAAAAAAAAAGTAGGTCCTATGGACCTACTGCTCTAATAGCATGTTGAGAAATGGACTAGGAATGATGAGACTAGAAACAGTTGGGATACAAATAGAAAACCTAGAAAGTTGTACCCCATGTAAGCTACCCCACTACAGCCTACAAACAACAAAGTCTATTATAGTTTAACACAAATCAGCTGCACCCCTCTGCAGCCTCTGTCGCACAGCGATCACTAAACTCCAAGCCCACAGATGTTGCAGCACTCACTTAGCAGACCAACCTCTTGGCCGCTTCCAGCTGCTCATGACTGGGACGTGAAACCACTTTTGCAAGCCTGGATGTTGCGAAGGCAATGTCAAGCCGAGTGTGGTTAGCCGCATAGTTGAGTGCCCCAACCATGGAATGAAACAGCTTCCTGTCTCTTTCAAAACCCACCACCTCCTCATCAGCACAGGGCTCCACAGTGAACCCTGAAGGCAGTGGGGTAGCTGACTTTCCTCTATCTTGCAGCCCATAGTTCTCAGCCAGCCCCTCGCATAATTGCCTCTCGTTCAACCTCAACACTCCCTTGTCAAGGTCCCTCTCCACATGCATCCCAAGGTAGTACTTCACATCTCCCATCTTGGAACACTTGAACTGCATCTCCAGCATCTCCTCCACACGGTCAATCATTGAAGACAACTCAGAGAAGAGCAGGATGTCGTCCACATACACCAGGAGCATGAGGAACTGCTCCTTCTCTTGCAGCAGGAACAAGCTGTGATCACACTCGCTCTTGTTGAAACCCCCAGCCAGCAGTGTCTCCTCCAGCTTGTGGTACCATGAGCAAGGAGCCTGTTTCAGGCCATAGATGGCCTTCTTCAGCCTGCACACCCTGCCGCTCCCATCATCCAATCCCTCAGGCTGCAGCATGTACATCTCCTCCAGAATAATCCCATTGAGGAAGGCGGTTGAAATGTCTATGTGCTTGATCCGCCATCCACGGTTTGCAGTCATTGCCAATGACACCCTCAGAGTTGTCCCTTTCCCCACAGGTGCAAACACCTCATCAAAGTCCTTCCCCTTTGTCTGCTGGAACCCCTTAGCCACAAGCCTTGACTTGTAGCGGGTCAGCTCCTCATCAGATCCATACTTGTGCCTGAAGATCAGCTTCGAAGAGATTGAACTCTTCTTAGGAGGCAACTCACACAACTCCCACGTCTCATTCTCCAGCAGAGAGTCATACTCCTCCTTCACACTCTGCTTCCACTTCTCAGCATCGGGTCTACTCAGTGTCTCAGTTAGCGTCTTGGGCTCAGGGACGCCTGCCTAGTAGCAGTGCGCTATCTCATCCCCATCGCACAGCTCATTCACACTCCCAGCCTGCTTCACATTTTGTGTGGCACCTCGATTATAACTCAGCCTGACAGGTAGGCGCACATCCCTCTTAGGACGCTCAGGCGGGCGTGGCATACGTGGTTGAGCACATTGCTGCTGCTGTGGCTACGGCTGCTTCTGCTGCTGCAGCTGCTGCTGCTCCTCCACCTCAGGTTCTCCCCTGTCCTCAGTCACCCCAGAGATTTCCTCCTCTGAGACAGTGACCTCCACTTGCCTCGAAGGCCGCTGCACCTCATCGGCCTCAACGACCAGGGGTGTAGTAGGAAGCTTCTGCTGCTGCTGCTTCCACTCCTTGTGATACACGGACTCAAGAAACTTCACAGCCCTTGACACAGTCAGTTGTTGGCTGGTCAAGTCCCATAACAGCCAGCCGTTGTGGTCCTTTGCAAGCCCCAAGTGCACACCCCATCTCCCAGAAGCCTCCAGCTTTCCCCTCTTCTCCTTTGGCACATGAAACACCACCATGCAGCCATAGGCTCTCAGCATGTTGACTGCTGGTGCACTCCCATACCACTTGGTGTAGGGGACCCATTGCTTGTCCCCCATAGTCGCCAGCACCCTGTTCTTCACAAGAGCGACCTGCCTCAGTGCAGTCACCCAAAACGGATCCGGCAGCCCTGCACGCCCAAGGAGAGTGCGAGCACCTTCCTGCAGGGTCCGGTTGAATCGCTCAGCCATGCCGTTCTGCTGTGGGGTGTAGGGCACTGTGGGCTGATGCTGGATTCCCTTCCGCTTCAGCTCCTTCTTGAAATCAGCACCGATGAACTCTCCCCCGTTGTCGGTACGGATCACTTTCACCTTGTGTCTGCTCCCCCTTTGAGCTCTCGGCATCCACTCCTTCAAAACAGCCGCTGCCACCTCCCCCTTAGTCTTCAGAGGGTACACCCACACCGCACGCGTGTGGTCGTCCACAATGGTCAAGAAATAGCGGCTGCCCGAGAGAGAAGGGGCCCTCATGGGGTCCACCACATCCATGTGCACAAGTACGAGCCGAGCCTTGGCTGGTCCCGAGCTGCTGCTGAAGGGAAACGTCGTGAACTTCGTTTCAAGGCATGTAGGGCAGCTTTCAATCTCCTTTGCTGCCCCCTTCACCTCCAATCCCTTCAAGCTCCCATCCTTCACCAATTTCTGCAGCATAGGGATGTTGATGTGACACAGCCTCTCGTGCCACGTCTCCCAATCAGCCTCACCACTCCCAGATGAAGCCTTTGCCCATGCAGCTGTCGCATCCACACCAGCAAGCACCTCACCATGTGGCTGCTGAGGCTGATGCACCTTCTTGACCACATCCAGGGCCCCAGCAGTTGGTGCAGTCTCCTCTCCTCC